AACGCTTACGGTGGTGGCAGGACCTTACTCCGGCCACAGGGGGCGGGGTTTGTGTGAAAACTTAAAGTTGGACCTAGAGAGTTCAAATTTGGTAGGAGTACAGGCGGTAGGATGGAATTACTTATGTTGGGTGGCGGGGCCGGACTCCGCCCTTAGGGGGCGTGGTTTGTGCGGGAAATCATAACTCCAGTCCCCATAGACCTAGAGCGTCCAAATTTGGCGGGAGTACAGGCGGAAGGGTGGGAACCTTTGCGGTGGGTGTCAGGGCCGAACTCCGCCCACAAGGGGCGAAGTTTATGTAATAATCTAAACTTGGACCTAGAGCGTTCAAATTTAGTAGGAATACAGGCGGCAGGATGGGAGCACTCATAGTGGTTGGCAAGATCCCACAGTGGGCGGGGTTTGGGAGGGAAATTATAACTCCTTTAGAGGGCGGAGCCTGCAGAGACTGTCAAAATGGACCTAGGGCGACCAAACTTGGTAGGAATAGAGGAGGCTGGATAGGTACATTGATAATAGGTTGCAGGACTAAACTTCGTCCCAAAGGGCTGGGCGTGAATAAATAGTGTTAGTTCGGACCCAAACCGTTGAAATTTGAAGGCACAAGGAGTTGGCTGGGAACATTGATGGTTGCTAACATAATAGACTCAGTCGCAATGAAGTCTCTGGATATTTTTTTTCTCTAAATGATCGCCTTTGTGATATTATACGATGTTCTATTCGGGCATAGCGGAGATGGCTTACAGAAAAATTTGCTCCCAATTCGGAGCTAATACTGAGGGTGTAGAGTTTTCAAAGAAAAAGTAGAATCCGAAGTGTTATTCACGCATAGCAAACTTCTCACAGGAAGGAGGAACGCCCGGCGTAGCCGGGCGAACCCATAAGAAGGAGGGAAGCCCGGCGTTAGCCGGGCGGCCCGACTGGTATATTACATGTGAATCATTTTAAGTTATACTCGTGAACTGATAGTGGAATTTGTGGGCGCTTCGAAGAGAAGACGCTTCCAAGGTTGATCCATGAAGTATGAAGTGACTCAGTCTTCAAAGAGCGCTAAGTGAGCAGATTTAAGAGGTTGCCGTCTGCATTGTCGCCGACGTATAAAGACATAATGCCTACACGGAGTTATTATGATCGGCCTACCATTCGCGTCGTGTGGTAGTTGTTTGAGGGCAGTTTCATTTCACGTCGTTGCAAAGCCATATGTTTGGTACGGAGACGAGTCAGTTATGTGACCCAGTAACTTTTTGGTGTGGTGATAAGAAGAGCAGACGAGTTTGCGCCTCAAAGACGACGTCTGGTGAATATGTTTGATCAAATAATATGTGACCACTGTTCTTCTTCGCTGTTTTTTTCTCACTGAGGGGTATCCAGCCGTTTGGTAACAGGGGTAAGTGGCGGGACCCCAGGTAGTGAATAGAGACTAAATCGCGATCCATAAGACACTGGTACCTGCAGGATGCAGGCTGATTCAGGTGATGTTGGTAAACTGCGCATCGGCTCAGCCAAAAACTTGCATTCGTGCAGCTGGGGAGCAAACCGGGAAGCGATTTGGAGTCGCCTCCAATAACTGAGCCTCTTGTCCGTTATGGTATAGATTAGTTAACCACCCTGTGACTTAAAACACCAGGTCTGGGCTTAGAACTACTCGGTGGTACCCATATGTAAAACTGTAATATAAGTAGGCCACATCGCCGGAGCACCATATACGGCAGCGCTGGGGTGGGGAAGGGGCGCTAGGAGAGACTCGCATGACAGACTGACCAAAAAAGAAAGGCTATGATGTTGATCTGTGCTCTCAACGCACGAAAGCTTGCACAGGAGGCGTGTATCGAAAACAAGATGAAGCAAGCTAGGAAGAATAAACACGAAGTATTCAGACTGACCGAGACAAGAATACATGGCTCGCTGCACGTAATTTTTATACTGGAGAAGTACAGTCCCTTGGAGCATGCGACGGCAAAGGCGTGTGGGTGTCAGTCGACGCGCACTTGGCCATGAACATTGATCCCTACGAAAGCATGGGAATGGGCATTGTGGCTCAACCCCAGCTCTCATAATCTTCGTTGCCTAAGCACCAACATCATCCTGCGAAAAGAGTAGCGAGAATCCTTTCGTATGGACTTGGGGAAGTTCTTCAGAGAGCAGCGCACTTTCTTTGAAGTCATCGTCGTGATTTAAACAAGAAAATAGGTTCTAGAGAAACAGCTGAAGTGCTACATATTGGACCATAAATATCGATTCGTACAAAGCTTGAAAACGTTTGCAATTAGGAAGCTGTGGCTCAGCCCCAACTCTAACAACGTCCGTTGTCGACACACCAAGATCAAGCTGCGGAGAAGAGGAACCAAAAGCATTTTATAGGGATTTGGATAAGCTCTACCTAGAAGACCATACTTTCTTCAGAGTTATTGTCGTTGATTTCAACGCCGAGATCGGTTTTGAAAGAAAGGCTGTAGAGCTCGCATCGAAACTCATTGGATTGCAATGGAATGAGTAGGATGAAAGAGAATCCCAGTTCATTATGCCGTTACGCACGCCCATTGTGATTGGCTAGCCCGGAGCCCCTCATCTGCGAGGACTTCGCAGTTACCTGATAGGCAGTCCTTTATGAAATGATAACATCATTTCCATTGAAACCTTTGCGTGACTGACGTCACTGTTGTTACGAGTTAATACACGGGGTCGGTCCATCGTCTCCTACGCGCTAGGTTCTGTTTCTCAGTGCATGGAGAGAGGGCTGTGAAGTCAAAGAAATACCAAGACCTACATCAACTGGGACCATTTCGATCCAGTTGCGAGTGAATTTGAAGTTTCCGTTATCGACAACATCGATGAAGAATACAACTGACTCGTCGAACATCTTCACGATAGTGCTAGGAAAGTAGGCAGTCCGCATGTAGCTAAGAGACGTCTTTCTTGGAAGGCTTTGGAGCTGATACACCAATGTGGAACAGCGCAAGCTACATACAAGCAATTATCAGCTAACGCCGAATTGGCGAAGCTAAGAAGAGGTAAAGAAAGAACTAAAAAAGCAAAAGCACCAACATGAAGAGCATTCACAGAGCCCGCTGGAGCTTCTCCAACAATAAGAACAGGGTGACTTCCCTTCATTATCCTAACGGAGCGGTTACTGCATCTTAAAGGGTAATAGAGAAAGTCATCTACGACCCTTTCTCAGCTCTCTTAGATAGCCATGTCTACCTACACAATTAGCATCTTGCCATTATGCAATTCGTTCCTTCAGATCTCCCTTTCGAATTCGAAATACCATCACCTCGGCGGAGAGTTCTACGGTGTGCGGCCTCGAAAGGATTAAATCAGAACATCAAAAAAAAATCTATAATTCATCATCAGAACCCTGACTAGGCTGTTAATGCGGAGACTGTGGGAATGCAAAGTGCTCACGCAGTGGAAAACTAGCAAAACACTGTTGCTGTAAGAAGGGGGTTCACGACGATATTGGCAACTATCGCCCAATCTGCCTGGTGTCTGTAATCTATTAACTTTTTACACGAGTCATCTTGAACAGGTCTGGCAGAAAATTAGATGGAGGTTAGTAATGCGAGCAAGCAGGATTTCGGAGAGGGTTCAGTGCAATCGAACACATGTAACAAAACTCAGTGAAGTTTCGCGAGAGCACAGCATGCCGTTATGTCTGACGTTTTTGAGTATTAAAGAAGACCTTTACTAGAGTCTTCAATGCCTTGACAGAAGCGGTAATTGAAGCAATGGGCAGCCAGGGTGTTCCTACTTAGTATATGAAGAAGCTTCGTGTAAGCAATTCATAGTCAACGTGAAGACAGGAGGCTGAGCAGGGCGGGAGAACGTCCGTTGCGCGTGTCCGTGGAAAGTAGGTCACCCCGCCCATTTCGCGCGCGGCGCATCACAACGAGATGACATTACAGTACCACCAAGTATCATTGGAGCAAATAATTTGCATTTGCCTGTGTTATCTTCATCATGAACTGACTGCCGTGGACCAAACGCAAAGCGTATGCCCCAGTGACGATTGCGACGTCTGTCAAACATCGCGGGCCGACTCGCCGCGTGCGACGGCTGCGGT